GGGGGGGGCGGTTGTTGGTGAGTGGGAGGCAATAGAAGGAGCCTGGGTCCCCCCCACCTCAAGAGAGGATGGGAAGCCCCATTGTTGGGTGTCATCGCTAGCGGCAACCTGGCCTCTTGATGGCCCGGGAACCAAGGTGCCCATCGCAGGGCAACCCGTCCCGAGGGCACCTCTAGAGCCTTGCCGGGCTGCTTTTTGGAGCAGCAGCTATGGCTTTTTGGCCATGGCCATACCATGGCGAAGCAGTGGCAGGGCCAGCGCTCGCCCTTTTGCTCCTCTGSCTTCCTGGCTGCTGCCCTCTGGCCCTCGCAGATGCTTCTCCCCTTCTGCAGCCAGCACCCCTGCTGGTCACCTGCCTCGGTCCTCATGGACACATCTCACAAAGGCATGATGAGGAGCACTGGATCTCCTGCTTGTGGAATAAAACGATGTATCTGCATTACCAGCCAGCCCCTGGAGCAGAGCTGCGGCCACAGCTGCCACCACAGTGCTCCTGGTACCTGAACTCAGCCTATGTGAAAAAGACATCTCGCTGGTCAGGGCAGCTTGTGCTGCAGGCAAGCCGTCTTCCAGGAAGAAGACCACCACCCACAGCCTCCAGCTCCATTACTGTGCAGTGCTCATCAGCTTCATGTGCTGCTCCTGGGTGTCTTCATCACAACTTGAGCATTGAGATGTGCAGGCAAGATATGCGCCTGTTTGTGCTTTGGCCACACRTTCACCTGATCCACCCAGGGCAGCCAGTAGAGCTGGGCTGGTGTGCACGCCTGAAGAGTACAAAGTGGCAATACCGTTTTACTAGCCACGGAGGCAACCCATCTACCCTTCTCCTTTCCAGCAATGAGCATGAAGAAGCACTACCACCTTCTGCTTACCCAGGAGCTGAGGTGCAACAGATCTGCGCAACCTATTACAACTATCGTTTAACTGTACACTATGGGCACCGTGGGCTCCATGTAGCTTCAGTCAGCATTGAGCAGATGCCGCACATCAGCCGCAAGCTTTCTCTCAAAGTCGAGCCTAACTTGCAGCACATTCTCAGTATCAGCTCCAAGCTCCTTAGYGTTCCTCACCAGCCTATTAGTCTCTCCTGGAGTCTTCAGACTCTTGCACTGAGGACAGTGGCCTACAGGCTGCTGGACACAAAGGGGACAGGAGGTTGGCTCACTTCCTATAGTTCTCCTACTTTGCAGAGCAACTTCTGTGCTGTACCATCTCTTCCGCAGCTTGGTGAGATGCTGGTGGCGAGTCTCTACTTCCATGTTGATGGAAAGAACTTCAAAAACTTGACAGGAGAATTACATCTAGTCAATGGTACACTGGGCATAACTGCAGGTGGAGAAACTCTGACCTATGTCAACCTTCAACCTGGCAAAAGCAAGACAGGCACTTACATTTTGAGATACAGCCACAGAACCTCTCATACAAAGGGAGAAAACATCCGTTCTGCAGATGGCTCCAACACACGCTACGTGCTCTACCAGCACCAGGAGCTGTCCTACTTATTCTCCGTTGAGTTTGTGAAATTTCATTGGTATAAGGTCAATATCTACCTTTATATCAATCAGAAGAGGTCTGTGGTAGACAGAGATATGGAAGTGCACATTTTCAGCAGCAGGCCTTCCTTTCTGCACAACTTGATTTATTTAGTATGGTTTATTCCTGTACAGCATCCCATGCTACAGTGTGAGTGGACTTTCAATCTGCAGGTATTTGGCACAACGAGAGACTATCTTGTTCAGAATAACACCTATACATACCATGATCATGTAAGTAATGCCACACGTTTTGTCCGTCGTTCTGCTTTATCATTTGATCCTGAAAAATATGCAGGGTTTGTGGCAAAAGTGAACTGTACAAGGAATGGACTGGCACCTGCTCTTTTACAAGTCAGAGCAAAGAATTATGCCTCAAAAACCATAGGACCACTGGTGGCTTGTCAGCAAAAGCAATG